CACAGCCAAGGAGGATGGTCCAACAACTGCGCTGGGCAGCCTTGTCCAGCCTTTGATAACCCTTTCAATGTAGAATTTTTTCCTAATGTCCAACCTAAACCTCCCCTGCAGCAACTTGAGGCCAGTTCTTCTTGTTCTATTAGTTGTAACTTGTGAGAAGAGTCTGGCCCCACCTCTCAGCAACCTCCTTTCAGTGAGTTGTAGAGAGCAATGAGGTTTCTCATCAGCCTCCTTTTCTTCACACTAAACAACCCTAATTCCCTCAGCCGCTCCTCCTAAGATTTATTCTCGGGATGCTTCGCCCCCTTCATTGCCCTTCTCTAGACCCTTTCCACCATCTATTTTGGTTTAGGTTTTTTTCTTATTAGTTTATGCAATTAGAGGGCAACAAAGCTGGTGAGAGGTCTGGAAAACATGCCCTATGAAGAGTGGCTGAGGGAACTGGGTTTCTTTAGTCTAGAGAAGAGGAGGCTGAGAGGAGACCTTATTGCCCTCTACAACTACCTAAAAGGAGGCTGTAGTGAAGCTGGTGTTGGTCTCTTCTCTCAAATTAGTAATGATAGGATGAGGGGGAATGGCCTCAGGTTGCGCCAGGGGAGGTTTAGATTAGATATTAGGAAGAAATTCTTCACTGAGAGGGTAGTTAGGCACGGGAACAGGCTGCCCAGGGAGGTGGTGGAGTCGCCATCCCTGGAGGTGTTTAGAGAACGAATGGATGTGGCGCTTGAGGATATGGTGTAGTGGTTAGAGAAATGCTGGGAAAAAGGTTGGACTTGATGACCCTGGAGGTCCTTTCCAACCATAGTGATTCTGTGATTCTATGCTGCATTACAAAGTTTCGTGCAGTCTTCCCGCCTTAAAAATCACAGTTTGGGCCAGTAAACCTCAAAAACCACTTGGTGAGAGTGGCGGGAGGAAGGCAGCATCATTTCCATGTGTGTCTGTAACTGTGACACCTGGATTTGCCCCACAGTGTGTGGTTCAACACCAGGAGTGCCGTCCCCTCCACAAAAGCTTCAGGTAGAGGAAATTTTGGTTTGTGTTTTTTGAGCTTGCTCAAAGTCGCTGCTTCTGTTTCTTTTGAAGGATAACGGTCACGTTCAACATCAATAACAGCATTCCACCCTCAGCCGATGATGAACCACAAGAAGGGCAGAAACCCGATGAGCAGGAGGTAACTTAGTCTTGACGTGCGCTTCAGTGGTGGCTACACAGAGGGATGCCCCTAAGGGATTTTTTTTCCTCTTATTTGATATTTGGGAGCATTAAGTCACAAAACATAGATGATTTTGGGCTGGCTGTCACTTGGCTGTGACCCTCCTCTCTGCAGCAGAAAGGTGGAGCAGGGTGAGAGGGCTCACCCTGCCCCCTCTTCTGCCTTTGTGACCCCCTGCAATAAATGCCGCGTTCTGTGCTTAGCCAGCATCGCTCATGGAGCTGGTAGGCAACGACAGTGAAGGCAAAGCTGTTCCCATGACTTTGCTTGCATGGTTTTGTTGGTCTAAAGTGTCTCACTCCTGCTTAATAAGACTGTTAGTAAAAAATACCGGTAAAAACTGAAAATGAGCGATCTAATGTGAGGCAGATGGCTTCATCTGCAGTGCCACTAATGTTCAGACACCGGTGCTGATGCAACCTTTCTCGTTTTTAGCCTGATCTTACATCAACTCCAAACTTTGTGGTGGAAGTAATAAAAGAGGATACAAAGCAGACCCTTGTTCTTGACTGCCATTATCCCGAAGACGAGGTGGGTACCAGGCTGGCCGCGTGCAGCTGTGGCCAACTCCCTGCGCGTTTCCTCCTTGACTCTGGTGTAACTGTGCCGCTGCTGAGTCTCACTGCTCTTCATGGTGTGTTGGCTTCTGGAATGTGCGGAAAGTGCTGTCTCCTCTTACCTCTTTTTTAACACCAAAAAAAAGGCTTTGGGTTTGCCAGAACACTCTTTGGGGAGGAGATATTGCATGAGAGGTGCCCTGCCCAGGACAGGGAGGTTGGATTAAATTATCTCTAAGGTCCCTTCCAGCCCAGGCCAGTCTATGATTCCATGATTGCATTCCTCACATCCAGACCTGGCGTTTCTGATGGCCTGCGTATTAGCTCCTTTATTGAATTACACTAGAGGAAGGAGGCTTGGCTTAATTTTAAGCAGCTTGAGAGGGCGCAACACAAATGGCTAAAACATGCCAAAAATATGCAAATCTTGTTGTGAGGTGTCACAGAGGGAAGTAGGGATTCAAAAGAAGGGGGGAATAAAATAAAATTGAGAGCTCGGATTCACGCTGGTCTTTGTGGTTTATTCTGTAAACCTTGCCAGGTCACTGACGCAGCTGGCCCTAGCTGACAAAGGTTAGATAAGACACGTGGAGGCAGATTTAGAACCACAGAGAAAGAGGGCTGAAGGTGCCCCAGGAGTTAATTGTGTGCCTTCCATCTCCTTCTCCATTTCAGGTCGGACAAGAGGGAGAGGAAGAAAGTGATATTTTCACAATTCGGGAGGTCAGTTTTCAGCCCACTGGAGAATCAGACTGGAAGGACACCAACTACACCCTCAACACGGATTCCTTGGACTGGGTAAGCGCTGCCGCTCATGCCTGAGGCTGCAGAGGGCACCTCAGTGTGTTGCCTCTGGCTGCCTGCTTGCTCCCGGGGTACGAGTCTGGTCTGTGTTAAAAAATGTCACTTATCTGATGCCATGTGAGGAAGTCTGTGCTTCCTGGGGTCTTCCGGTCTGTTTTTACAGTGCTGACACCAATACACTGAAGAATCTGGCATCTGCTTATACGTTCTCAGCGCCAGGCTTTCAGAAGTGTAAATCTTAATTCAAGGCTGTGATTCATTTGGTTAAAACCACTCCTAGAGTGTCTCTCTCTTTGGGGAACATTCATTTTAAAATCAGTCAGTGTGCTTTAGAGCATCCCACACTGCTCGAGATAGAAAGTTAATTAAAAACACGTATGATTTGTGACCTGCTCAGATTACATAAGTCCAAAGTGAATCATCTGCTTGGTAATATTGGTCTGTTAAAACCAAATAATCTGTTCCCCTGAGGAGCAAGGGGGGAACCCACAAGCACTAACACATGCTAGAGTTGCGACAGTTAAGTAGGATTGAAAGTGGGAAAAAAAATTGATGATTGTAAAAGACTTCATCTTTCAGACAAATATTTACGTCAAGTACCACCCTTTGCAGACGCTGTTAAAGCAGTTCACCTCCAAGGCCGCAGCTTTATCTAGAGGGGACAGGCAGCACGTGGTCTTTGACGGACTTACCTGCTGACTCCTCTGGGGTTCAGCTCATTTGAAATGTTGGGTTTGGGTTTATAGGAGCCAGGTTCTATAGGACTGAGCTTGTAGGAGCCTCTTCCATGGTTCCTTCCCTCCAGCTGTTACAGCTGAGGCCAGGTCTGCTGAGAAGGGCCCGGTCCCCTGTGGGAGCTGAGCCTGAGTCTTCCTGGGAGAAAGAAACGCCAGCTGCCATGGGACGTTTTAAAAGCAACCCCTCCCTGGGCGCGCTCTGCTAAGAAGTTTCTTGTTCGTTCCTTCCAGGCTCTGTACGATCACTTGATGGATTTTCTGGCTGATCGAGGGGTGGACAACACATTTGCTGATGAGTTAATAGAGCTCAGCACTGCACTGGAGCACCAGGAGTACATTAAATTCCTTGAAGACCTTAAAAGCTTTGTCAAATGTCAGTAGGTCAGGGTAGGAAACTTACTTTTGAGTGTGGGTATCCTACAGCACTGTGCTCCAGCCAGCAATGCCCAAATGACGTCTTCACAACAGATATGGAGAGTAAGTAACTTGGAATTTGGAGAACGGGAGAACGAAGATTCTCACGTGTATTTGAGGATTTGTATTTATGTTGCAGCCCAGATCAAGTGCTCTGACATTATGGCCAGGAATTGCCTCGCCCTACTTGGTGGGTTTTGTACAATTAAGAATGAATGTGAAGAATAAAAACTGTTCAACATATCACTGAAAACTGGTGGTTCCTCCTCTTCTTGCTCTGTTGTTGCTGACCATGAAAACAACGCTGGTGTTAGTCTGGGCCTGAGTGGGTGCTGGTACCGCTGCTCCCAGAGCTGTGGCTGCAGCGATGGTGGGTGCTGCCCTGGAGTTCTCTCTGGGGAAGAAGTCCCAGCACGCCCAAACACTCAGCGTGCCCTCTGTGGGAGGAACAGAGCTGGCGAGCAGGGCTCGTTAGGAACAAGACTCATTCTGGAAATCTTGGCTGGCTGTGCGTTAAGGGATAGAATTCAGGGTCTTCCGCGTCGGGTTTGAGGAGCCGTTTTTAAAAAGGAAGGCGAGAGGCTGTGGCTGGTGCTGTCAGAGGCAGCGCTGCAGGCTGCTACTGACCAGTGCCTCCAGTTGTTGCCTGAAGGTCATAGTTTAAACAGAAAACAAAACTGAAGTCCAGAGTGAGCTGTGAGCTACTGGTGCCTTGTGAAAGAAAGACAACACTTAAGGCTGAAATATACTAAGCACATTTATTTCAAAACACATACTGTGCCATTCAAAGTGCAGGTCAAGGCAGTACTACCACCTTTTTAAGTATATTTGACACAGAAGTCACAACTAAAATATATATATATATAAAAAAATACTAGCAGCTCTGGGTGGGTTTTTAGTCTTGAAGTCCTTTCGGTACAAAAAACAGCAGCCGAATCAACTTACAGGAGAATCATCCAGGAGTCACAGACCTTTACAAAAGGAAGTTGAACAAAGAAGCTACAGCAATGTCAAAACCCAATTATTAATGTTCAAAGCTATTTGAAACGCTCTGCTCCTAACACTGTCCTCGTAACGATTCCAGGGAAGCAGCAAAGCTGCTGGCTCTGGCTTGAGCCGAAGGGATGGTGTGTGTTGAACGGCTGCTCTGCACAGGGCTTGGGAGCCGTTGCCTAAGGTGTGGAAAGGTAAGGCACTAAACTGGACAGGCTCTTGAAAGATTCCCTAATCCAGCAACTAAGGGGTGTAATTTGGCTCTTCCTTTTACAGTTACTGGTGGTCAAAACGACAAACCATTGCCAAAGAAGTTTCTGGAAGAACAACAGGGGAAAACCCCTGGGATCAATGGACTTGTGGGTTCCACCCCTGTAAGTGAGACAGGGATCCAAGCAGAGATCCTTTCCAGGAACTTGACATTTAGACTCACCGGGCAGCTCATGAGAAGACTGGCCTCTTCCTCCATCCCAGTGGTAACTGTGAACTCTGGGTTGTGGAAGCACCTGTGGCTGTGCTCTGTTAGAGTGTTTTCTAGAAGTGACCGAAGCTTCCCTTCTGTCATACCCTGGGAAAGATTGAGTGAAAAGAAATCTTACGCTTTAGTCACGGCCTGCTAAAACTGCCCCTTTGGCAGCAGCAGGCACCTAAGATGTTACATCTAACACGTGACGGCGCAGTGTACCTGTGTGCCGATGTGTAATCCGCACTGGCAAGAAACCAAGTGATTCCTCACGTCCAGGTGGTTCCTAGAAAGAGCATACTTTGAGCAGCATCACAACCTCCAGAACAACAGTACATTTTAGCAAAAGACCCTTTAGATTTGGAAACATTGCTCAGTTTAGGTTTTTTTTTATTTTGTTGAACTTGGCACTAACAGCAGCCCCTGCTTGCCCACTGCTTCTGCCCGTTTCTAAGCCCAGATGGCTGCAGGGGAGCAAAGAACCTCCTCGAGGGCTTTCTTACCTCCTACACACTGGGCAGATGAGCTTGTCACTGGCATCCAAGCCATCAAGCATCGCATTGAGGCATTCTTCATCAAACTGCAGGCTTCGCTCGTACTCTTCTATAACCAACTGTTCTGTAGTAACACAGCAAAATATCCTCCATTAGGAACCAAAGATAGAGCTGCACATGTGAAACTGCTGGGGCAGCCGCTCGTTTCTGATCTTTTCTTTCTTTGGATTGGATCTCTACCCTTGATGAAATCGTTCCTGCTAATCCAGCTCAACCTTTAGCCGGTCTCAAGTGGGTGACCTTCCACCCAACAATTTAGAAACATTCTGAACTGATTTATACAGGTGCCTACGGCTCCCAAATTCGCCACTCCTGTTCCTCTGGTCTCCTCTCTTATTAGCTTCTCACAGACCTTAAAATACCACTTAAACTCTTTAAAACTGTCAAAAAGAGTACCCATGAGAGAGGCTACAGAGAATTCTTCTGTATTGCACAGGCTACAAGAACGAAGGAGTGCAACCTCGGCTAGTTTGGGTCACTAGAAAGTCAAGACAAATATGTAGGAAGGAAGCATGTAGGGAACTTACCTTGTAAGACCAATTCTTGTTGGATCTCTTCCAGCACTGCCAGCTCATCGGGGTCCTCTAGCATCTGAAAGGTGCATCCAGTCAGTGACTCTCCCATCCTGGCTACATTCTCACTTAACTTTCACCTGACTGAGTTGTCACTGTAATGTAAATTCAGTCTGCTTATTCTTCTGCCTGGTAAATCCCTGTATTTGCAAAAACCATGCACTGTGTAAAGCAATCTAACATAATCACCTCTGCAAAGTCACTTGCAACGGATCAAACACAGCCTGTCCAAGAGCTTGTGTTTTTTTAAAACACTGGAGTGTCATCCCCACACCGGAGCTTCATCCCCGCGCTCAGGAGTGGTCAGTGACACACCAGCTCTGAAAACCACACATGAGGAACCCACCCTCTGCCGTGGTTCACACGCAGCCTGTGAAGGAAACGAGGAAGTTCCCCCCCTCTGGGCCCAAAGGCAAGCGCTTTCACAGCACAACACTCCGCACTAGTTGGGAAGCAGGAAACCCAGACGCTCTTGGGTTTTGCCAACTCCAACCAGTGAGCCGCTGTGCAGTTACAAGTGCAGGGAGACGTGTTTGACATGCCTGCATTAGACACGTAGCCCGTGATGCTGGAGACAGCATCAGCCCGAGAGTTTGTACTGACCTGGGCCAGGGCCTGCTTTCCACTGAGGGAGGGCAGGCTCTCCTGCGCTGCCTGCAGCATCTGCC